TTCATGTACCACTGGGCGTAACCTGTGTACACAAACCTTACTAGGTAGCATTCGATTTTGGATACTATGTCTGATATTACTACTGCTCTTCATTATTTTACCAAGAGTCCACAGCATCTATAATGCTCTGCAGTGGGTTTTCATATGCAAAAATTTATGATGCAGGAATTGGGGTAAACTTAGTCAGCTGTAAAAAAAAAAAATACTAAAAATGTTCTATTCGGCCTTTCACCAACAAAAGATTCTTCTTCAACACACATTTCTCAACAATCGCCTTTGCCCTTATGAAAATCATCAATTCTGATTTTGATAATGCTTTTTTGTTTGTCGTCAAAATAAACAAATTTTCCACAAAATAGTCACTTCTATTAAAGTGCCTTTTACATGATCTACTCCTACTTTTCATAACACTTTCTTTCATTAAACTGATCACTGTGATTCTTATACGTATATCTTTTACGACATAACTTGTGAACTTTTATTAATGTTGCTGGGACATTACTGTTTTAGCATTATTAATTCCAGTTTCTTCAATCTTCATGGTTTTTTTTTTTCATTTTCATTTTTTAAGACACATATGCAACAGTTAGACAACAGTTAGGCAACTTTCTCATTTATGAAATGAAAAATGTGTAAACAAGTGTCGTATTCTAAGTTTGCACATTATTTTACACAGAAACTAAAATTCAAATTTAGTTTTCATGCTTTTCTGCCATTTTTTCTCTTATTTTGTTTTCCAAGTTTTAAATTAAGTGGATTTCAGATGTATTGTTTAGTGGGTTATGTGGTACTGGAAATTATTGAAGAAGCTTCAAATGCATTTTTTCCTGGTCCGTATATTTGTTTGATCACTTACCAAATTTCTGTACAAATAATAATAAATCCTGTTAAGCGCTAAACCTATATGGGTTATTCATCGCAAGACGTCGAGGAGGCTTGATCCTCCTCCTGCTGAGCGAGAGAGAGAGCGAGAGAGAGCGAGAGAGAGCGAGAGAGAGCGAGAGAGAGCGAGAGCGAGAGAGCGAGAGCGAGAGAGCGAGAGCGAGAGAGCGAGAGCGAGAGAGCGAGAGAGCGAGAGAGCGAGAGCGAGAGAGCGAGAGCTAGAGCCGCTTCCGAATGAGAGTTCAAAATGCTACATATCTGAAGTTAGTCGAATGAGGAATTCCCTAGTAATAAACGACAACCTTAGAAGAAAAAAAATTAGGCAAGCTCTTAAAAGTACTTTTACGGTGATATCTAATAATACACCAAAAATTATTACGAAATAAGAGTCGTTTGTGTCAGCAAAAGATGGGGTGTTGTGGTGTAGCTACAGTTTATTATACGCCAGGCTCGGGTGATGGCCTCGTCAATATTCGAGGGAAAATAATGGTCTTTTTTCCTTTCCTTCACGTGTCTCGGTAAGGAACAGTGATGTGAAACTTCCAAAATGTAGGCAATGGGCCAATGATTCAGTGGCTCAGAAAACTTTGGGAAGGTATTAAAGTTGGAGAGGTGAAGCCGTCGTTGATGGATTTGCCGCGATTTTAAACCAGTTGTGGAGAATTATATACCATTACGTGGACACTGCCCTTGCCTGCTTTACAATAGATTTTTTTTCACCAATTAATTTACAGTTGATTCACAACCATTTCTAATGTAATTAAATATCACTCAAGGCATTCCTGTATAACACCTTTCCAGAGTGACGATGCTATTGAACGGTTTTTGATCAATAGACAGAGCTATTCTCCTTTTTCTTGGGTCATTCCGAATTGTTTCCTGCTCTTCCGGCGATATGTACCTATTACGAGTTAAGGGGTTCTCATATGTATATAATAACAATAATAGTAATAATATTATATTACAGCTACATCAATCACTATCTAGTTAGTATACGACGACTAGCCAAATACACTGTTACTCTACAGTCACTAAAGAGTTGATTAATATTATTCCAAAAAGCACAATAAACAGTCAGCAAATATTTGATAAGCTCTCACTACACAGCCAATACTCGACCAATCACTGTACACAGTGTAGAGATGCTATAGTTAAAACTGATTCTTTTGACCTGCAACAGTTAGAAGATTTATTATTTAATTAATACGAAGTACCTACACTCGCTTAACACACACTGAAGTCAATACTTTTTTTTTACAGTACATACACAATCTTTATAGTTAAGGCACATCCATTACCCGGTACAGTCAATTCTCATTAGTCAAGAAACATTTGTTACAATCAGTGCAAAATCATTTCAGTCTACACACATTCCTTACAATGTTCATTCATTACAATCATTTCATATTCGTTACAATCACTACACATCCGTTGCTATCAATAAGTTATTTCATCGATTGTAACCACCTCTGTCCTTCCTCAACTGCTTCGGCTCTTCGCTCCGCAAGCTAAATCATAACAGCTTTTCCCATGTACCTGACCTCCATCTGCTGGAACGAATCCCTTTATGCTGTAGTTGCAGAATGAAATTCTTGACGATATTCTCTTTGACCGACTACAAACTCCCAACTCATGCTGACAGATTTCAATACTGTGTATATGTGATGGAATATGAACGAACCCGTGTTGTTTTAGCCCGCCTCATGATGAGCGAAAATTCGCGACGCTTTAACCCACTGGACCATACAATCCTATAACCAACCTGAGCCTAGCGAACTAGGCTTGCTTCAACTTGCGAGGACATACGATGGCGTGGTTGCCTCAGAACTAATGTCATTCTACTCCCCTTTTGGTGTACTAGACTCCACAAGCAGTATACATATTATGTATGCTCTCGTAACTTGAAGCAAGCCCCTAGTTGTTTGTAGGATTGTATTGACCAGTGGGTTAGAGCGTGGTGAATTTTCGCTCACCATGAGGTGGGCTGAAACAACATGGGTTCGATCATCCGGCTAGTCACAGTGTTATTATATATATATATATATATATAATATATATATATATATATATATATATATATATATATATATATATAATTATATACACACAACACACACACAGATAAGGAGGGAGGCCCAGCGACAGTACGAAAACGACATAGCATCGAAAGTCAAGTCTGATCCGAAACTGCTGTATAGCCACATTAGGAGGAAGACAACAGTCAAAGACCAGGTGATAAGGCTGAGGAAAGAAGGTGGAGAACTCACAAGAAACGATCAAGAGGCATGTGAGGAGCTCAACATGAGATTTAAGGAAGTATTTACAGTGGAGACAGGAAGGCCTCTCGGGGGACAGACCAGATGGGGACACCAGCGAGGGATATACCAACAAGTGTTTGATGACATACATACAGATAAGGAGGAGGTAAAGAAACTGCTAAGGGACATCGATACCTCAAAGGCAATGGGACCGGACATCTCCCTGTGGGTCCTTAGAGAGGGAGCGGATATTTTGTGTGTGCCACTTACCACAATCTTCAACACGTCCCTGGAAACTGGGCAACTACCTGAGGTATGGAAGACGGCAAATGTAGTTCCCATTTTTAAAAAAGGAGACAGAAAAGAGGCACTAAACTATAGACCTGTGTCACTGACGTGTATAGTATGCAAAGTTATCGAGAAGATTATCAGGAGAGTGGTGGAGCACCTGGAACGGAACAAGAGTATAAACGCCAACCAGCATGGATTCATGGAAGGAGAAACCTGTGTCACAAACCTTCTGGAGTTTTATGATAAAGTAACAGAAGTAAGACACGAGAGAGAGGGGTGGGTTGATTGCATCTTCTTGGACTGCAAGAAGGCCGTTGACACAGTTCCTCACAAGAGATTAGTGCAGAAGCTATAGGATCAGGCTCATATAACAGGAAGAGCACTGCAATTAATCAGAGAATACCTGACAGGGAGGCAACAACGAGTCATGGTACTTAATGATGCATCTCAATGGGCACCTGTGACGAGCGGGGTTCCACAGGGGTCGGTCCTAGGACCAGTGCTATTTTTGGTATATGTGAACGACACGATGGAAGGGTTAGACTCAGAAGTGTCCCTGTTCGCAGACGATGTGAAGTTAATGAGGAGAATTAAATCAGATGAGGACCGGGCATGACTTCAAAGAGACCTGAACAGACTGGGCACCTGGTCCAGCAACTGGCTTCTCGAATTTAATCCCGCCAAATGCAAAGTCATGAAGATAGGGGACGGGCAAAGAAGACCGCAGACAGAGTATAGGCTAGGTGGCCAAAGACTGCAAACCTCGCTCAAGGAGAAAAATCTTGGAGTGAGTATAACACCGAGCATGTCTCCGGAAGCACACATCAACCAGGTAACTGCTGCAGCATACGGGCGCCTGGCAAACCTGAGAACAGCGTTTCGATACCTTAATAAGGAATCGTTCAAGATACTGTACACCGTGTACGTCAGGCCCATACTGGAGTATGCAGCACCTGTTTGGAACCCGCACTTGATAAAGCACGTCAAGAAACTAGAGAAAGTACAAAGGTTTGCGACAAGGTTAGTTCCAGAGCTAAGGGGAATGTCTTATGAAGAAAGGTTAAGGGAAATCGGCCTGACGACACTAGAGGACAGGAGGGTCAGGGGAGACATGATAACGACTTATATTAAAATACTGCGCGGAATAGACAAGGTGGACAAAGACAGGATGTTCCAGGGAGGGGACACAGAAACAAGAGGTCACAATTGGAAGTTGAAGACACAGATGAGTCTGAGAGATATTAGGAAGTATTTCTTCAGAGTTGTCAGGCAGTGGAATAGCCTAAAAAGTGATGTAATGGAGGCAGGAACCATACATAGTTTTAAGACGAGGTATGATAAAGCTCATGGAGCGGGGAGAGAGAGGACCCAGTAGCAACCGGTGAAGAGGCAGGACCAGGAGCTTGGACTCGACCCCTGCAACCACAAATAGGTGAGTACAAATAGGTGAGTACACACAAATAAGAGAGGGAGTAGGGTAGGAATTAGAGTTAAAGATGCACGGATAAAGATATATGAATATAGTGTACCAGATAAAGAAAAGCGCTAAGCTTACTGTTTCTCTGGCAGGTGTGTTGACGTGAGGGAGGGCAGCAGGGGTGAAAGTGGCCACAGAGGAAGACTTATTCAAGAGCACAAGAAAACGATGGTATCCGGGCTCCGGGCTGCCGCGTATCATCCAACGCTGCCTCCAGAGATAGCTACAGATGCTGCAATCTATGTTGCTGTGAGTGGAAGGGAATTAGTAACATTTTTGTTGCAAGCTGATCATGAAGAGAGAGAGAGAGAGAGAGAGAGAGACCCAAGTTTTTCCTGTTGTGTGTCAGTCGCATCATGACCTGCTAACTAGAGCTTTAGGGTGTTAGGAAGGAGGAACTATTCAGGAAGTGAATGTGTTCGGATATATGGTAGTGGACATCTCGGCGGATGGGATATAAAAGGTACAGGTAGATGCGTATCCAGATCACGTAATGTTCTCATGGTGCAACTCCATAATTTTTACTTTACTTGACCTAACCTGACCTGACCTTATCACGCTGCTTAACGTTGAAAGATCTTTTGTCTAAACTCAGATTACTGTCGTTGTAAATTTTATAAATTAATATAAAAGATTGTATCCAACGTTATAGTTCTCCATCTCCCGAACTGAATGTTACTGAATGACAAGAAACTTTCAATCAAACAATATTTATTCTTTCCCAAAAATAATTTAAGAATCCCACTCACTCCCATAACTAAATCCTTTTATAACTAAATAAACAAACTTAACTCATTGATCACAGTACATCTTATAAAGAGTAGACCGAGTTAATATGGTTCATCTACAACACACACAAAAAAATACATGTGGCCTGTAAACATGAAACAATCCTAATTAAATTATATTAAAAATACTATTATAATATGAAAAAGGAACTCCACACTTCGTATTAGTTAAAAGTGGTGAATTTTTACCCAGAACACCAAATGATTAAATGCTTGTCCTTGACAGACAAATGTTCGTGGTAGAAATTACTGCAGTGAGCATCTATCTTTGACACCCAACTGTGGCATACAACTTCCTTCTCCCTTCCCAGCTGTCTTTGCCACTGCCTTACTCGACTCCGGATTGACTTTAAAGGGACTTCAAAGGGAACGACGCTATCGCTACCGAATTTCTGTCTCTTCTGTGTACTGGCCAGACCATATTCGGGCCTGTATGGCTGAACAGTATGGAATCAACGCGAGAGACTGTATTTCCGAGCTCTGCCACTAGCCTTGTTCAGGCAAAAATACCATGGCCTACCCGTCTTGGGTTCTCTGAGTAGACCTCCCAATCCTTCCACTGTATCTCTGCTTCGCATAGCTTTGAATCATACCCATGATGAACGTTAAGCTGTGGGAACATCTTTTATGGTGACAAGCTGTTCCATCTGGTCCGGTTTTCTCTTTCCAGCAGTCAGTACACATCTCCTTCGGGTTATCAATAGCGAGAGATTAATTACATGGTTTAACTTCATAGAAGCACCAGGATAGTGGACTGTAATAATTCCATAGAAGACAACCTGGAATCTACTAGGAGGGTATTCCGGGGCGGATGGGTCAACGTTCCCGCGGCCCAGTCTTTGACCATATCTCCCGGTGGATCAGGGCCTGATCAACTAGGCCGTTAGTGCTGGCAGCACGTAGTCCAACGTACAAACCACAGCCCGGCTGATCCGGTACTGACTTTAGGTATCTGTTTAGGTCCCTCTTGAAGGCAGCCAAGGGTCCATTATTAATTCCCGTTACGCATAATGGGAGGCTGTTAAACAGTCTTGGGCCGTGGACACTTGCTGTGTTTTCTCTTAGCATACTCGTGACTCCCCTGCTTTTCATTGGAGGCATGTTGCACCGGCTGCCTAGTCGTTTGCTTTTATAGTAAGTGATTTCTTTGTGCAAATTTGGGACCACTCCCTCTAGGACGTTCCAGGTGTAAATTATGATGCATCTCTCTCGCCTACATTTCAGGGAGTACAGATCAAGTGCCTCCAAAAGTTCTCAGTAATTAAGGCGTTTGAACTTCTGAGCATTGAAGGGTCTCTACATTATCTAGATTTGCGCTTTCACCTGCCTTGAATGAAGCTGTTAATGCCATTGGCATGGCATCCCTATCATTTTCCTCGTAGATATGATACATGTTGTCGTGATTCTTGAAGGTGAGATCCTCTGACATTAACATTCCCAAGTCCTTCACACTACTTTTTCTCTCAGTTGTGTGATTATAGTTTGAAGTACTATATACTTCTTTCTAGCTATCATTTCCTCTAGTTTCCCATAACGGAGTAGTTGAAATTTATCCTCATTGAATATCATATTGTTTTCCGTTGCTCATTGGGAAACCTTTGAGTATATCCGGTTGGAGTTTTACCCTGTCGTCAATGGATGACACTTGCAAATTCAAGTATCTGCAATTGACGATGTGAGGATGAGGACTAGCATGCAGTAACTACTCTCTCAGCTACTTTATTATCCCACAAATACCAGACCTTCATAAAAGTTCCTCTCCTTTTTAAACACAACATAATCTAAAGTCTTAATATATTTAATTATCCGCGATTTCCTAAGGACATTCATTTACGATGGATTCACTCTGACCGTGCTGAATATAACGCCATAATTACCCTCATTTCTTTGGCCATGTATATTTCCAGCAAGGGCAGAAATCCTTCGACAAGAACAAAGCCACACTAATATTATGAGGGCTTGCAAAGAAACAACGCTCCCATCATACAATCATACCCCGAACGCACATCTGTTATCCTAACGAAGAGATTTAAATAACCTAATAGCTTTCATCCTAATTAATATTCACATGCCTCTCTTCAATTCCTCAATTCATTATCGTGGCCCGACGCAGCGCAAAAGAATCCTGTGTACACTCTTGGGGTAGAGTACTGCATGACCTTGACCTACCCGCTAGCTACTGCCTCAGGACTATCTCCTCCCATTTTGTTCAGCCCTTACTAACATCTGACCCACTTAATTTTGAGGAAAATGTCGAAAAACTCAAATTCAAGGTTCGAGGTCATTAATACGTTTTACAGCCACCAGGTATGTAAGTCTGGTCCTTCATCGTTACTTGTTGGGTCGTTACCTCTAATTTCTATGTGGCTGAATTTTATTTCATTCATTCTTCATTTTGTCATCATTAAAATAAGAAAGTTTTTCCGTAACATCATTTAGAAAACTATATAATAATAATAAATATTCTAAAATTTAGATAATTTTTATAAAAGTTTATAAGGCAGTTAAATATAGCAATTTTTCCTAAACAAATACACTTAAAATATCCCTTGGCCCTAATTTATTTTACTTTTATGGAAGAAACGTTCAGTGGGCACATAGTTTGTTTTACCGAGAAAGTTTTATCGAGAGAGGATTCTCCCCCAGCCATGTGAAACATTTACGTTACATACCACAGGTGCAGAGTCCATGCACTTCGCCATGTTCATACTATTTATTCACGTCTATGTTTGCAAGTATTTCCTACCACTGATATTACTATCCATGTTCTCATACAATATGCTTCTCATGTAAGGCTGCCACCACCCGGTTGGTGAGGCCGGCTTAATTATACAAAAAAGCCAGGTCAATAAAGGTGTTTCGACCCATAATACTTATAAGTAAAAAATGGGAAAGTATGAAGTTGCACACATTTAAAAATTTTCGTTATCTACCTTAAAATTCTAGAAGCTACACAATATAGCTGTCCTATATTTATAATACTCTGACATTTAGTGCATGTAATTTCCCCAAGTGCTATGTATTCCCCAAGGGTATATACACCACTTGGGGGAAATTAAACATTTACCATGGATCCAATATTACAAAATGAGTTCTACCATCAAACAAACCATTGGAAGAGTTCGTCGGTGCCAGACAATTAGCCAACATATATATTCAATGGTACGTTACCCATTTCAGCCTTAAACAACAACGCTGTTACTCACCTCCACATACTAGGCCATTCATAACTGCCGTCACCCACCTACCTCATGGTCACATGAAAACTTGGTCCCAGATGCCAAATTTCTTGTCCTTGGCTGTAACACTCCCATGGCACGGCCTGACATGATATAACATGACCTGACATGACCTTACCACTCTTGTTTTAAATAAGATTAATGAAATAAAGAAATATTGAATTTGTATTTTAAGTAGGAAAAAATTGACCATTTATGTTACAATAAAACTAAAATCCCACATTACATGTATACTAGATATATGTGAGAGAATGATTGAGCACTAGAAGAAAGTGAGGGTATGTCTGAGTGCAACATGCATGTGAGGCCACGACTAAGTACTACACGCATCTAAGGCCACAAGTGAGTACCACATTCATGCGAGGCCTGAGTGCAAACCTTTACATACCCTTTGGTTTACCACTTCCTGATTAGCAAACCTACTGCTTCTTTACTATTCTGGCTTAGCATTCTCTCTAGCCATATACATGGTGACTCGTAATCGACGAGTCTGCTCTGGAGGGTATGGCTGCCATTCTGTCACTAATACCATTATTAAAGTCTTTGTGTCCATTACCTTCCTCTCATTATCTTAAAATATACTCCACCATTATGCTCCTTCAGGAAAATTTTGAGGTATGTTAATGCTAACTAAAACGTGTTTCTTCAGGTGATCGTGGTGTTCTATGCGGCCATCATTCTGCTGTTGGTGGGAACCAATCTGCACCGTCTCCGCCGCAGACGCCGCAGCCACTTTCAGCAACCTCACCATCAGCAGCGCCAACAGAAGCCAAAGCAGCAGCAGCAGCAGCAGCAACAAGTACAAGAACAACAACAGCAGCAGCAGCAGCAGCAGCAACAACAGCAGCAGCAGCAATGTGCACATGCACTGGTGCGACCCGTCAATACAACCACAACTGCCATAAATACCACATGTTCCTCTGCCTTCAGCAGTTCTACCAACAGCTGCGCCACGACAGCTATACTTACTCATAAAGACAGTTGGGGTAACAAAGGGGACGCAGTGGTTGTGTAATGCCGGACTGACAGTAGGAGGGGAAGGGAGGGGGTGGGGGTAGTGCGCCACTGGACGGAAAGGAATGCGGGTAAAAAATAACAGAGGCACAATACCTTGACTGGTACAATACACAAATAACCCGCACATAAGAAATGGGAGCTTATGACGACGTTTCGGTCCGACTTGGATCATTTACAAAGTCTGACTTTGTAAATGGTACAAGTCTAACCGAAACATCGTCGTAAGCTCCCCTCTCCTATGTGCAGCTTATTTGCGTATGGAATGCAGGTGACGAGTGCAAGAAAAGTAAGAAAATATTAAGATAAGAAAATTATACCACTGCACTGTTGTGGCTGCTAGTAGAACATCATCTTACCTAGGAAAGTCGTAAGCTTACTATTCAATGCAACAAGAAAGGCTGCTAGAGTAATAATAGAACAAACATTTTCAAGAATCGTGTGAAGAATATATTGGCAACAATAGGCATGTGATAAACTGTGGACCGGTCGAAATAGCTCTGTTCTGGTATTTGTGATAGTGATGAGGAACCTTTATGTTCAGAAAATATCAGGTCAGTTCGACCACACAAAATTACTACAAATTAAGTTTCCTTCATATGATATAAGATATGGTAATATAAGATACGGTAATGAGAATATAAGATACGGTAATGAGAATATAAGATACGGTAATGAGAATATAAGATACGGTAATGAGAATATAAATACGGTAATGAGAATATAAGATACGGTAATGAGAATATAAGATACGGTAATGAGAATATAAGATACGGTAATGAGAATATAAGATACGGTAATGAGAATATAAGATACGGTAATGAGAATGTAAGATACGGTAATGAGAATGTAAGATACGGTAATGAGAATGTAAGATACGGTAATGAGAATATAAGATACGGTAATGAGAATATAAGATACGGTAATGAGAATATAAGATACGGTAATGAGAATATAAGATACGGTAATGAGAATATACGATACGGTAATGAGAATATACGATACGGTAATGAGAATATACGATACGGTAATGAGAATATACGATACGGTAATGAGAATATACGATACGGTAATGAGAATATACGATACGGTAATGAGAATTGCACATTGCTCCAGCAGAGGAACAATTTGCATACTTGACAAGTTACTGTGGAGGAACTTTATTTGCCTCGCTTCATCAGTTCATTAGAAACAAAGGAAAAGGGAATAATCACAGTGTAGGTTGAGACGACGATGCAAAAGACTAGAAACAGTCAACTCATACTAGAAATATGATACTGAAAGAAAAAGACCGCGGGAAGTAGGATAAAATGCAAGAAAATGATTTAAAATGGATGAAAATAATGATTAAAATAAAGAGTGCATAATATTTATAGTTTGGCACGGCCTTTTGCATTTGTTTTCACAGTCAAATGAGCACAACGTTTCTCTTCTCTATACATTTTTAAGTATATTGGCAATTAATATTAACATGCAAACGTTAGAAAGAGATAAAAGTAATATTCACAATAAAGATGAATTGTCTCTTAACTGTAGAAGAAATTCGAGTATCGAACTTGAGTGAAAAACCACGTCGAAGTTGACAAGAAATTATTGAGTGGCGAGGACACAGTGACACCCACAGATACATTCTAAGCTGTAAATACAAATGTTCCTATTAGTCATGGCTATATATCCAATTATTATTGCAGTTCAGCAATGTTAAAAGCCTCCAGTGGTGACTTTGGCAGTAATAAGTGTTGACAGTGATTTTGTATGTGACGATTTCTTGACAACACCAGAGTAAACAGCATAGTAGCAACGAATAATTAAAATGAATTTATATTATTTTTACCTCAAAAGATAGTCAACTGTGTGTGGGTTAAACAGCTCTGGTTATTACAGTGAAAAAATGTATTTGCATTTCTCCCGACTGCGATAGTGAAGTTGCTAGAAACATTGTGTTATTCTTGAAAATGAAGTTTCATGACTGGAGATACCCTCAATCACTGTGCAAATATAAACAGTGAGTCCTACTGGTGTTGTTGTATCGAACAACAGTATCAGGGATGCACTACAAACAGACGTGTGAAATACTTGCCAAGAACAGCGAGGAGTTAAGCAGGATTTACGACGAAACTTTCTTCACATTGCAATGTGTGGCTGGCAGTGATGGGCGAGACTTGTGGCACTGTGGGAATAGTGAGCTAAACGAACAAAGCAAAAATATATTTTCCCGGAAGCTCTATACCTGTGGGGGACATTCTGAAGAAGATAATTGTGCTGAGAGCTCGATCCTCTTCATAGGGAATGAACCCGTAAGAATAGATTGTGACAATCCGGTCGCAGTTGGTGATACCAAGATCATTTATTTACTTGTGATGATACACCATCGGTGAAAATAGTTTTGTTTACCACCTTTACCACTGGTACAAGCAGGATTTTTTTATAGTATTTTGAATATATTCACATTTAACGCTAATTAATTATGTTGTAATATTTCATAACGAATTGAGAATTATACTGAAGAAAACTAATGTCATTAAGCGACTACATCTGCGTTTTAGGTTTATTTTAAATGGGAAAGCGCTAAACACGGTGGAGATCACAGTGTCAGGAATGGGAAATGAGATGCAGCGAGGTTGTATTCAAGGAAATCGAGATTAGGTGCAGGTCCCTGCATCAGTAGCCTTCACCACCGTCAAGACTCCTGTCTGGAGGGTCGTATCAAGAGGAACATTGATTGCCAGTACGACAATACCCTAAGAAATTATGTAGTGAGAGAACTTCAAAGCTCGATCATGCTGAAAAAGTTTAGGGTATCCCTAAATCAAATCTAGTGTGTCCTTTGATCAAAGTTAGGGTGTCCCTTGATCAGACAAAGTTAGGGTTTTAATTGATTAGACAAAGTTAGGGTGTTCCTCGATTGGATAGGGTGTCCCTTCATCAGAAAGTTATTGCTTATCTTGATGAAAAATAAAGTGTGTGTTGCTGAGACAAAGGTAGGGTGTCCCTTAATGAAACAGCTTGTCTCTTACTGAGACTTTAGGGTGTCCCTTGCTGAGAAAAAGTTAGGGTGCCCATACTGAATCAAAGATGGCCTGTTCTTAATTGAGGTTAGGTTGTTCCTAATAGGGGCAAAGTTAGCGTGTGTCTTACTGGGGCAAATTAAGGTGTCTCTTGCTAAAACAACATCAGGGAGTTCCATGCTCGGATAAAGCTACGGAGTCTTTAGCTGAGAAAGTTGATGAGTCATCCTTCTGGGACAATTTTAGCTGCCTCATCAAGGGACAAATATAGGAGGATGTTCCTTGTTGGTACAAACTTAAAGTGTACCTTACTGGGACAAAGTTAGGAAATCCTATGCAGGGATAAAGTTAGGGTGTACCTTAAAGCCTGCTGTGCTGAGAGAAGTGAAGTGAATATTTATTATAGTAATAATAGGGAAACGTTAAACCCGTAGGGATTTGGAAGATTATGCGGAATGGGAGGCTATCAGGCTCGACCAAAGGAAGGAATTTATAGGAGAGCCTCACTAAGTCAGAGGCCTCGCACTAGCTGGAGGGAACTTACCCTCAAAGGTCAGCAACATGAGAAAATTGTGTAGTCTTTAGTGTGGAGGTATACACGCATACTTGTTTGTTTTGGTGCTGTGTGTGTGTGTGGGTGTGTGTGTGTGTGTGTGTGTGTGTGTGTGTGTGTGTGTGTGTGTGAAAGAGAGAGAAAGAGAGGGAAGAGAGAAAGAGAAAGAGAGAGAGAGAGAGAGAGAAAGGTGAAGTGTCGAGTCTTAGCTCCTGTCCCAGCCTCTTCTCTGGCTGCTGCTGAATTCCCTCTCCTAGTTGCATGAGCCCTATCATATTTATTCCTAAACCATTATATATAGATCCTCTATTACTTGGCTCTAGTTTACTCTATTTCTTTGTTACTCTAAGGTTAAAGAACCATTGTCTAACATCCTTGTGACTTGTTTGTGTTTATAACTTCTAGCTGTTCCCTCGTATACCTAAGACCTACCACTGAGACTCAACCTGTCTATCCTCTTTCAGTATTTTGTACGTCATAATCATGTCGCCTTTGGTCGTTCTCTTCCTTCAACTCATGCACTAATTTCGTTGTAATCCTTTGCGCTTTTCACATATTTTTTTACACGCTTTATCAAATGTGGTTTTCAAAGCAGCTCTGCATACTCCATGATGGGTCTGACAAATGCTCTGTATAGAATCATGACTCCTTGTAGAGGTTCCTGAAGGCTAATCTTGTTTTGTCATCTTCGCACCTGCTGCAGCGGTTACTCGGTTGCTGTGTGCCTCAGGTGAAGTGTTTGAAGCTATACTCACCGCGTGATCCTTTCTTTTCGGAGAGATTTGCAGCCTTTTTCCCCAGAGCCTATACTCTCTCTCTGGATGTCTTTCCCTTCCCGATTTTAATAATTTTGCATTTTTCTTAGTTTAAATTCTGATAGCTATTTGTCAGGCCAATCTTGCAGTTCGTCCGGATCCATTTGTAGTCTTTCCGGGTCAAGTTCAGTGTTTTTTTTTCTCCTCGTTAGTTTCGCATCTTAAAAGAGGAATATATCTGACTTGATTTCCTGTCATCACGTTACAAACTCAAGAAACCGTAATGATCTAAGCACCGACTCTAGTGGAACCCCACTCGTCACACTCTTCCACTCCGATGCTTCCTCCCAGACTACAAATCGATGTTTTCTTTCTGGTAAGTATTCCTAGATATACAATAGGGCTTTTCCTGTAATGCCTGCCTGCTCCTCTAGGGTTTTATCTCAGTATCTTGTGGGTAGTGTATAGATCGCTTTTTTGCAGTCCGGAAAAATGCCGTCTGTTAATCCCTTCCTCATGCCTAACATCTCTAGAATCTGCCTAATATATCTTCTACCATCTGGAACACTGTCCTGGTGGTTGTTTATAAATCCGATCAATTCCAGATGCTTCACTACACATCTGATAATCTTCAATCTTACATACTAGGCTAATGACTTTGACCTGCAGTACAGAGCCACCTGTCTGTTCCATTTTACTAAATATCAGGACTACATTCGCTGTTTGCTAACCCTCTGGCAGCTACCCTGACAAAATTCACTTTTTGAAGATCGCTACAGGTGGTTCACACAGTTCTGCTCCCGCTCTCAGAGTCCATAGAGATATGTTGTCTGGACCCACTGTCTTTGAGGTAACTAGCTTACTCGTTGTTTGTATTGTGTCATGTTGCTGGTGCACTCTCCCTCTGACATTGTTTCTGATTCTAATGAGAAAACCTGTTGTTTCTGATTCTAATGAGAAAACCTGTTAAAAACTCCTTCCTTCAGACATTTTTTAGTCCTTCACAAATTGTCTGTTTCTTTATGTAGTTGCACATCAGAGTTGACTCAAATTTGGCTTTTGATGTTATGGCATTCTCTAGCTGTCGTTAAGCATCTCTTGTTACCCACGCATATTCGTTTCTTGCTCTTCTGCTTCCTTCCCTATTCTCTGTTCTCTAAATTTCTTGCCTGCTCTCGTCCTTTTATCTTTTGCCTCCATATACTCCGTCCTGCCTACCGACACTTGCCAGCTACATCCTCCCTCATTACATTCGATGTCTTTCTGTGTAGCTTCCTTTCCTATGGCATTCTGCTGAGCAACTAATTTATGGCATCACAGTCTCCTCTCTTCAAGTCAGATTTGTCCATTCTTTAACGTTCTGTATCATTCACCACGTTCACTTCCATTAGGTGTGTGTGGTGTGTGTGTGTGTGTGTGTGTGTGGTGTGTGTGTGTGTGTGTGTGTGTGTGTGTGTGTGTGTGTAAGTTTAGCTATATAAGTTTAGCTATATGACTCAATAATAACAAAAATTATTATCAAATATATTAAAAACATGCGCTATGAAAGCGTGGGTCATACAGCTCAGGTATTTTATATGAAATAATTGGAGAAGATGAGGACGAATGAGATGGAGTGAGAGATTACAACACCAGAGATTACATATACAGTAACGTGTCACCCAAGATAATTTAACGCTCTGTGCTGCTGGATCAACTCACCACTGAGAAGAAATATTTTTATATCTATGTAAATTAATCCTGTAAATGTTTTAATAATGTTAAATGATATATAATATATATATATATATATATATATATATATATATATATATATATATATATATATATATATATATATATATATATATATATATATATATAATGTGCCGAATATGTAAAACTGGTCAATTAGAAAGAACTCGTTTAAAATTAAGTCCTCTCTAAAATTTTCTCTTATACGTTTAAAGATATATTTTTTTCATTAATATTAATGTAAAAAAATTTAATTTTTCTCCAAAAGAATCTTTGAAAACTTACCTAACCTTATTACAACAAGAACAATTTATTTTAGCCTAACCCAACTACATATATTTTAGGTTTGTTTACAGTAATTTAATACTAAACAAACACAGTGAAATATATTTTACTCGTTAGGTTCAGAATGATTTTGGCGAAATTATTGCATACACAAATTTTCGCTTGTCCTATATGGCAAGATGAGCGCTGCTATTTAAGCCAACATTGCAAGTTCTGCCTATTCGGCACGACATTATATATATATATATATATATATATATATATATATATATATATATATATATATATATATATATATATATATATATATATATATATATATATATATATATATATATATATTATATATTATATATATATATATATATTATTATATATATATTATATAATATTAATATATATATATATATATATATATATATATATATATATATATTATATATATATATAAATCTTTGTGGACATAAACCACTGATGTAGCTGTACGTCCGTTATGCGAAGATAATTTTTTTTCGTGGCACCATCAGTTGAAGAACCCAAGTCTCGAAGTTATATTTACTCTCAAGATTGTGGGATATTTCTATAATTTATAAAAATACTTAAATAATATGAATGTAAAAAATATAGAAAGATAAACTACAAAAATGAAGAATGTAATTAAAATTAAAGAATGTGTCTGTGTATATACATTTCAATATTTAGGTTATTATACAGGAGAAGATATTTCAGTAAATTACAAAAATAGTCTGTGTGTTTATTTCCTGGTATTTCATATGATACTGACATCAGCTTTTATATAATATTCAATTTTCTCATGAGAGACTCGTATTGCATCTCTGCACAGCACTGAAGCAAGCAGGACAAAATAACTCCACCTGTAATTATAATGGTTCAGTTATTTCTTCTAGACTATAATTCCTTATAAATACTGTTCAGTATTTTCTCATACATACAAGGTATGAACTTGGAGCAGTATTGTTTCTTGTGTATGTAAACGACTTAACAAAAGTAGAATCAGAAGTATCCCTGTTCTCAAATGTAAAATAAATGAGAATAACAACAAGAGCAGACCGAGAAAGACTAGAAATGGATTCAGGCATACTGAAGATTTGGTATGTCAAGTTTTAATTAAATTTTAACCCCTGTAAATGCAATGCAATGAAAATCAGGAAAGAGTAAAGAAGACCGGAAGTAGAGTACAGGCTCGGGGTGATAACTGTTGCAAACCTCCCAGTAAGAGATGTACCTCGTTGTGAACATAGTTCCGAACATTTCACCTAGTGAAAACAACAACCGGATAATGGCTGCACCAAATGCGAGATAAGCATTTTTACATTTTTAAGGGTAACTTTCAAGAACCTCAACAAGAAGGCATTCACAACTCAAAACACAGTACGTCAGGCCCAGTCTGGAGTATGCAGCTCCAGAATGGAACCTGCATCACAAAGTTTGCCAAGACGCTGGAAAAAGTTCTAAGGTTTGCTACGATACTATTCTCAGAGCTGAGGGGTATGAGCAACGAGAAAAGATAGAGGATAGAGGATCTAAACCTAATGACACTTGAGGACATGATTAAGACGTACAAAATACCAGGAGGCCTGGTCACAGACCGGGCCGCGGGGGCGTTGACCCCCGGAACTCTCTCCAGGTAATAACAGACAGGATGGACAAGTTACAGGTACACGAGGGCAGAAATGAAAGCCAACAACCCTAATGAGTGATGCGGCTTAAAGTTTCCTTTACAGCGAAGCACTAGACATAGAATCCATGCATAGCTTTAAGAATAATTATGACAGGTCTTGTGCAACCAGGAGGGAGCAAAGTAACGGCCAGCGGATTGGTATGACCAGGAGCAGAGACTCGAGCCATGTAACCACATATAGGTTAGGTGAGTACACGCAAGCACGCACGCACGCAGTTTACTTCAGCAACACAATACCTGTCAGCCTTAAGGGGGATTAAGAGGAAAGGTAGCATGCACATACGAAAACTCACATACGTGCAAATAAACACTCGGGCAAACAGGCAGGCACGAAAACGCACGCACGAATACATACACACACACACACGCACACACACGTTGGCTTTCGTCGAATGCGGACGAGCTGTCGCCAGCTCTGCGTTAAGCTGCTTTTTCGGTGGGTTTTAGTACGCTCGATCTAGTTTAGTGAAACACTTGCCAACAAAACCAGCTTTATCTGTTCTGTGATAGCGAAAATCTGTCTTTTAATATGAAAGTGTAGCAAAATTACATTTAGTGAAATATCGATAACTATGTTTAAAACATTCTGAGGTGAACACAGGAAGGTCAGTTATACAGATCACAGACTTACCAGTGTGTTGCTGCAGGTATGATGGGAGCCT